AGCTGTTCATTTCGGTCTTCACATTTACCAGTCTTTCGTCATGAAAAGTTACGACATATTGCGTTTCCTCGGAAGATGATTTGCCGGATCAGTAAATGGTTTGAACCCGGGGGTAACATGTGAAAGTGTAGTGTGATCGTCCGGGTGAGTGTAGTCCTGAGAAGGACTGTTGTCGGTGGTAGTGACTGACGTTTCGACAACCTGTGGGGAAGTCATCATCGAGTCAAGACGCTGACACGCTAAGAAATGCATGCTTTATTGATTTCAGAAACTTTCATTTATGAAGTAAGATAAGTCAGGAGCTAGGTTGTACAGATATTTTATACGAAGACATTGTATCTCTCAAGAACTGGAGATAAGAGGTACAATCAAGGGATCACGGCAGAATTTATTTTCCCTTGATTTCGGGCGTCTTTCCCCTATTTCGAGTCGCCATGTTGCGTACTAACCTCGGAAAGTCGCCGCTTCGCGGCTCAACATAGCGGTCAGCGGATAAAAGAGGAAAAGCAACATGGCCACTCGAAATACGGGAAAGACGCCCGAAATCAAGGGAAAATAAATTCTGCCGTGCTCCCTTTGTACAATGCAGCTCTTAAAAAGATTACCGGGAAAATAGCCGGCGTGTTTTGAGGTCAACAATTAACAAAGGGAATTTTAAAAAAATGTAGTTAGTTCCCATGAAGTTCATTGATTTTTACCTCAAGAAACGGCTAATAATTTAGAAGCTTAAGAATTAACAAGGATTAGATAGTGGGAAGGTTCCCTAAAGAACTTCAACATCTTTCTTAAAAATTCGTGAAAACAAACAAAAACAAAAAAAAAAGAAGACGAATATACTCGGTAGGGAGTTCTTTTTCTCCCTTTTCCAGTTGTAACTTATAGAGAGGCACCCTAGGTGGTGATCACTTTAACTTCTACCTCTGAGTATATCTTTACTTACGTTAGCTGTATGCAAAGCGGAGACAAGCGGGAAAAGATGAGAGCAACGTCCTTGCTGAAACTTCAACAAATCAACCAAAGTTTGTAACCGGAAATAAAAGATAACTTCAATTTTTTCGTTCTTGGTATCTTGCGGCTTTTTCGCTCAACCATTCAAAGGACACACAGTAGATCGGGACAATACCACCAGCGCTTCCAGTTAACAAATGGTAAACACCACAGCGTACACTATTGAGTTATGGATGCACGTGGGAGGTTGCTAAGCACGAAAGAAGCGTAAGAGTCGCTCGAGGCGATAGCCGAGAGCGACTCTAGCTTCTTGAGTGCTTAGCAAACCTCCCAAGTGCATCCATAACTCAATAGTGTACGCTGTGGTGTTTACCATTTGTTTTATAACATAACATTGATACATTGTAGCTACAGAGTTCCGTTTTATTTAACAAATCTTACGCGACCAGAAAAAACAAGCGCGCGCGGAAAAATAGTCTTTGCATTTGCTCACGTCAGCAGCGTACACCCATGGGCAAATGGGGGACGCTTAATTGACCAATCAGAGCGCGCGCTTTACTTTGGTTATTTTGTAATGTATTCCTTTCTGACCTTTTAACTGACGGTGGCGTCCAGAGTTGAACGAGATGAGGGTGACCTAAACAGTCTGAACAGATATCAAGAGAAAATGAGCTGCGTTTAATTTGAGTTAAATAATAAAGAGCCTTCCCCCCCCCCCTCCGAGACTGCAAACTAAATGAGCAAATGTAATGAAAATAGGTTGACTGAATTGATACTTCTTTATTAACCCTTTCACTTCCAAAATGATTGGTGATTCTCCTTCGGTAAGTTCCGAGAAATCGGTATTGAATCAACTAATAAGTCCTTTGCTGATATTTTTTTCTATCCTTATCAGTTGTCTGATTGATATTGTCAGGAGAAATTTTGTCCTGGTCACTGATCAAATAATATCCAGCCTGGCTGTAAAAAATCCAGTAGCGAAAAAAGAGGCTAGAGTCTGAACTCCGTAGCCTCTTTAATTTGTAATTAAAATAATCACAACGTTCGGTTTGAATAAAACTCCAAAACTTCTTAAAAATTCCAAACTGACGGGTTAAAGTAAGCATGAGCAACCAAACTAAACTCCGTAGAGAAAAACAGCAATGATACGTGCGAGGATATGTCTACGCCAATATTCAATGTCAATTAAGGTCAAACTTCCCGACGTGATTGGCTTAGTTACGAAAAATCACGCGCACCACGTGTGGCAAAAAAAAAAATAAATAAAAACACAGAGGCGGGGGAAGGTGGGGCTAGGGGAGGAAAAAATGAAATTGAAATTAAAAAGATAAACAGATTGTCTACGCTGGTTTCTGTAGTTGTGTCCTTTCCCGCTTTGCACGAAGATAATTGATTCGAAAAATTATGAGAAAAATT